TTCCTTGGCGCGCACCTTGCGGAGCGCCTTCAACATCGTAGTTATGCTTCAAACGCGACACTCACGCTCTGATGTGTAATTTTCGCATGTTGCGCATGTCGGAGCGTATGTCCAGTTAAGAATTTCCCAAAAATTGAAAGATTTTAATGCCGCGAAATTCATGTTGAAATCCGCAATTTTTATTTCCATGCCGAACTGAGAAAGGGATTTTCAATTCCATGAAGACTTGATGGAAATGACTTTGGTTTCCGTGTGAGTTGCATGGAAGTGTTATGAGTTCCATGTCGAGCTCACAAGGATATATTTTCATTTCCATGAAGACTTGATGGAAATGACTTGGTTTCCGTGTGAGTTGCATGGAAGTGTTATGAGTTCCACGTCGAGCTCACAAGGAATTGTTTTCATTTCCATGAAGACTTGATAGAAATGACTTGGTTTCCATGTGAGTTTTATGGAAACGTTATGATTTTCATGTCGAAGGACATGGAAGTCAGACGATTTCCATGAAATCACATGGAAATCGGGTCATTTCCACGTGAATCTACATGGAACATTTTTAGCAGGGAAGAGCTGTCGCTTCTTGTTTTTTCCATAGGAAACCGGAGTCATCCGTCCTGGATGTCCCCCAGCTCTGAAAGAGGCCCGATGCGAAATTTACGCATGGTTTAGGTTCTCCCGCACGAATCGGGGGGAATCGAGAATCGGCACGCCTGCCCAGTGAATTACGGCCCAGCAGCCCGGCACTTGAAAACATCAAGTGTCAGTACAGCAGGGCGTGACCCCGGCGAAGGGCGATAGCTGGAGGGGTGGCGGGGGAGGCAAAAGGTTGGGAGGAGGAGCACTAATGAGCTCAAATTGACACACAGTCTGTCTCGAACAAAGCCACTTCCTCTGCGACTGAAATTATCAGCCTGGAATGTACACGGAGGAATTGGGAAGCAGGATGTTACGGGAGGATTCAGGTGACGTCAATTTTTAGTAAATACCCGATCGAAAAGAGCAACCGATAAGCCGAGCGATTAGAAGGCTCTAGCCGCAGCTCAGTATATGGACTGCATTTTGAAATGGAACTATGGATTTTGGCTCTCCTGGAAAAACACTTACGTGCATAGGGAAACTGATTGCACTTACGTTGTCTTTAAACCGGGCTAAAATTTAAAGTTCCAAATTGCAAAATGTAGTCCATATGTTTCTCGGTCTCTCTTGTTGCGTATTCATCACATGAAGCTGACCCTCCCTCTTTTCGAGAACGATCAGTCCTGGACTAGTTGTTTGAAAAGGAAAAATAGGGTTTTTCGTCGATTTTAAGGAGTTCGAAGTAAAATATTTGGGTTTGAAATGTCAAAACAAACATTATTCTTTGGAAGTATACCATGCAGAGTCATGATAAAAAATAATTTGATGCATGTAATTGCTGCTAAGTGCCTTTGAAAATTGCGTCCAAAACGCTAAAAAGGCGAGTCTCCAAAATTTTCGCCGCGACTAAAAACGCGCGTTGCGGCAGCACTAAAATAATCATCCGATTTCGCTCAAATTTGGGATGTTAAATGTTTAACATAATGACACA